ACTTCCCTTCATCACCATTTCTTTACCAATGACTTTCACTTTTAATCTCTATCCTTTCATCTCTTCAACATTCACCTAATTTATTACCTTCTTCTTCTAAATGCAATTAAGAGAGGAGTGGAGCTTGTATCTAATTTGTATTCCAATATTCCCCACTCTTTTAAATAAATACTTGCAGAGCTCCAAATAAAAAATTTGAGGAATTTCAAGGGTTATCACTACTAGTCTTTAAAAAAAGTAAAGTTTAGTAACATTTCTTAGGGAGAAGATATTTTACTTTCAAATCCCATTTCAATGAAAGTACATTCAACTGAAGGTTCAAGAAAGAACTTCCAATGTTAATCTGCCCCTCGGAGTTCCACAAGGAACCTACAAAATGCACTTTTGTACGTATTTCATACATGAATTTGTGTCCCCGGTGTGTCAGGGAACTCACCAAGTGTCAGAAAACACAACCCTCTCTTTTTCCTCCATACCCAAATCTCTAAAAACGGGGCTGCAACGGAGCTGATTGTTATTTGAATTATTCTGACGTCAGAAAAGGGGTGCTCCACCTATATGGGCAACTCTCCACCTATCAGGGGAATGAGAGACCGCTCGAAAGCGCTGGAGACGCTGTAGTACATATGCCAGGCCTGTAAGTGGCGCTGTAGTCTGCCACTAAAGCAGAATCAACCCTTGCAAAAACAGGGCTGGAAAAGAGCAAATAGAGTGAAATGAGACATGGCTAAAATGCATGATCTGTTTGGTATTTTGAAAAAAGAACTTCACAGACATGTTTTATATAGGTATGGCCCTACAATATATGTTTCAAATATAGCATGATAGGTCCACTTTAAGGCTCCCCTGAAACTTTGTTTTTAAGAAGCTTTCAAGGTTTGTCAATATTTAACAGAAAAGTGTTTTTCACTTGATGTAACCTTAAGCAGAGGCATTATAAATTAAATATAATTGGAAAATAAGAAAACCACAGAAAAGTTTTTGAACAACCCTATTTCGAAGGATTGATAAGTTTATTTAGGTGCTTCTACAAAGCTCCAAAATGTAATTACATTTTTAAAGAAAGACACTTTTTTTTTTAATGTAAGAGGAACATCTGTTGGATCTATAAAACAAATTTGCAGCAGAGTTACTGTGGAGCGCATAAAGCAGAGCGTCATGCTCGCGGACGGATAAAAAAAGATTAAACCTAAATGGGTCACAAAATATACTTTGGCGGACGTTAATATACCTGTAAACAAGTATACAAGTAAAGTCTATGTGTGGGAAACCCTGTCCTGTTAAAAAAAAGTTTCATATACCGTAATTTTCGGACTATAAGCCGCACTGGACTATAAGCCGCAGGTGTTTTAATGTTTAATTACCATATGTAAGGGTTCGTGCACAGAGGGGATTGTCGGGAAAGAGATGGCTGTTTGAGGAAGCTCCCATTTATTAACATTTCAACAAACAAGTTGCATATTTGCATAACGTATTCAAGTGTTACCATTTAGTGCAATAGTAGCTACAGAACATGTACTGTGCTGTGTAAACTGTACTGTATCACATAGCGTTTCAGACACACAAACTTTTCAACTTTCAAACTCAAACGGTGCGCTCCCAGCACCCAAATCCATAGATTTAGGAGGTCCCCTAGTGGCCGTTAGCTGTAAAAATCCATAGATTAGCCGCACCGTTATATAAGCCGCAGGGTCGAAAAATGGGGAAAAAGGCGCGGTTTATAGTCCGAAAATTACGGTAATCATTATAATATGCACTACATGGAATCATTTATTTTGTTGTCCATTTTTTGTCTGTGCACGGTCTACGAAAAAGGTTCCTTAATACTTTTTGGAACCAGACTGCAGCAGCTAGTTAGTGTGCATTAGAAATCTGGTGTTACTCGTGAAGCAAACAGTGTTGTCAGTGCCAGAGTTGTCTGTATCAGAGCCAGCGTATCCAAATCACTCCTGTGTTTTCCTATAGTTTGTTTTTGTCTTTTTCTGTGGCATCTGGCTTCAGTCTGTGGACCGCTGGGAAATCATGCGCTGTTGTATACCAGTTGGTGTTGACATAGGTTTTTGGAGCTTTGAAGTGTTCACACTCCCCTGTAGTTGTACATTTGCAAGGACACTCTTTGAGGTAACACATTCTCTAGGCCCTTACTCTAATTTTAACCATCACAGCAAGATACCCATCCTAACCAAATGCTGCCAAATTCAGGTTTCATATTTGTATTTTGTGCTTCTACTGTGACATGGTTAGATGCTTTAATGTTCAAAAAGTGCTATATCATGCTTTTCATTTTCTCATACTCCCTGTGCTGCAGCACCTCTTTTCACCCTCTGTCTGAAACCAGAGCCCAGTCTGCTCTTATCGGTTAACTGACAAACTCTGTTGTTATTGTTCAACCGCTTACAGATGTCCCGCCCCTAAGCCTATCATGTACGCATTGGAGCGCTCGCTATTATGGAAGCCCAAGTGTTACATAGTGATGTCATTATTAGACCCTCCAGAAAAACGCGATTCTGCGATCGCAGAATTTACCGCATAATCAGCCAAATGGCGCAGATTTTTAAAAAGCCGCATATTTATCAAAAGGCCGCATAATCCCCGCATTTTTCCACACAAAGTTGAGAAGAAAAAAAAGTTAACTCGTCTTGACGTGACGTCATCAGCTCGCGCATCACAGAATGTAAACAACACTGTATAGAGCTCATTTACCAACGAACATTTCTACTAAAGACCGGGCAAACAGTGGGGGGAAACTATTCTGCAGCCCGTGCAACTGTGTGTTGGAGCATAAGAGAAAATCGACGGTGGCTACCCACTTTGATTCATTCAAACATTCGAAAATGCTTTCCGCTGCTGCGGACAAGAAAGCCATTCAACTCCCGTTCACCGAGGGATCAACATCCAAAACTCTTTCGAGGGCTACAAGAAACGAAGTGAGTAGCCTACAAGATTGAAGCTGGTCAGATAACGAACGAGTAAATGAAAACAGAATGAGGCGGAGAAGTGTGTGTGTGTGGGGGGTGGGTGTCACACAGGGGATAGGGCTTTTACAATAAATAAACATTGAATGTGTTTAATTGAATAGTAAAGGGGTGTAACGTTAGTGGCAGGTTGTGTGTGAGAAAGAATAAATAAGACAGCCCAATATTTTTAAAAAAATCGATAATATATTATATAATATTTCGCAACTTCCCGCAGTTTCACCGCATAAAATCACATAAAACCCCGCATGTTTAATCGCATAATCAAGGATTTTAGACCGCATAATCAAGGAATTTAGCCCGCATAATCAAGGATTTTTGCCCGCGTTTTTCTGGAGGGTCTAATTATATGGTACTGTAACTGAGCTGCCAACACTGAGTCTACCAAAGGTCAAATTATAAAGCCTCATAGAGACACCTTACTGTATAACCTAGATTTGGAATTGTAAACAGCCTATCTAGAGCTCCTTTTAGACCAGGGGTCGGCAACCTTTTTATATGAAGTGCCATTTC